CGTTTCCACAGAAGTACAGCCTTTCCTTGCGCCATTGGAACCCAATTTCTCGCATACAGTTAACGATTAATATCGATTACGTCGAAATTCATACTGACGACCACCGATAATTTCTTTATATAGTAAAACGTCTTATTACTCGATAGTTACAAGTTTATTCGCCATCTTTTTAAAGAGATACATTAATTGCATAATTAACTAAATGTTATAAAAATCACAAACAATATTAAAATGAATAATAAAACAAGATTACACTGATACGTCTTTAGAGTTGAAAATAATTTACTCGAAATTAACATATTGAGTTCATACTAAAATATAAGCAGCATTTAACAAGAAAACACTACGACAACGCAAACATTTCCTTACTTACCAGAAACTGCGTTGCCTGCACCGGAGCCAAGAGCAGAATGAAGAACCAGACCTCTAAAATAGAAGACGGTAAACCGGTCTAACAAGAACGGCTTAGAAAGTGGTTCTTGTTCATGATGGGGGCGGAAGGAAAAAGGGGGGTAAGGACCAAAACAGAAGGAATGGCAATGCACAGGGTGCATGTAAAGTCTCGCTACCCCAAATAAATGTTTCTGTATTTCGACAAATAATGCAGTCGTCAGCTTCGTGATTAATGTATTTGGGGGGGGGGGGCTGTAGATGTTGCGCCGTGTAGTCTGGTGGACGTTCTGTCTTCATTATACCAACCGCCATGAGAACCTGAAAGCTCACCCATGACATTATGTTTTACCCTGGGATTGAAGGAATTTGTATGCAGCCTGTAGAACACGAGCGAGCACAGCGGCTGGTAAACAGAGGTCATACGGCATATGTTTTTCGTGAACGATTTATGTGGCCGGAATCGAAAGGGACTGCATTTTTGTACACAACTTTCACAAACGGTGTGACCACAGAAACATGCATCATCATTAGACTAAACTAAATAAAATCTTCTTGGGTAATCAGCGGCGTCAAATGCTTACAGGATGAGACCAACGTTTCTGGAACCATCTCTGCCCAAATCATGTCACATTAGAACTCTAATGATGGGGCAAGAGATAGTTCCCAAAACGTTGGACTTTTTGTGTAACCATTTGAACTGGCTAAGCTGTTACTAGATCCTCAATTTCACTCTGCTTCATAGTGCAAGGTATCAGAAACCAGAAAGAAGGCTGTCTTCTGGGTTGTTGCTAGGAAGCACTTTGTATGAAGCAGGCTATTTTTTCTAGTGGAACACAAAAGAGACATTTGTTACTGACTGATTTTCTAAATGAACGTATTGCAAAAATTCTTTAATCAGAAAACTGTTCAGTCAAGATGTGTCAGTCTGGTTACTTCCACATACAAAATTCACCATGCCTTTCAATTTTTTCAAATTGTTTATTATCAAAATATCAGGAGTATCACCCCTCCATTTTAATAAGAATGATACCAGCAGTTTTTCTCAGCGTTCACTTAAACTACCAGTGGACGTGAACGTGAGCAAATAGCTGGAAAGACATTATGATCATGATACATATGCCTTGCAAGCTAGGAACCAGGGCAACTTAATCAGTACATTAACTGACTACAGATTGCATGACCAGGTTTCAATCCCTGACAGGGGCAGAGAATTTTTCACGTAGCCTGTGTCCAGACCGGCTCTAGAGCCCACCCAGCCGGCGCACGACTCTGACCTCTCATTCCTATCTAGTGTCGAGGATGAGTAGGAACTATACCACCTCTACAATGAAGCAACCAATGATATGTGGCAGGAAAACTTTGTTTTACTTTTTTTTATGCCTTGCAAACCTATTTTTAACATCACTGAAACAACATGACACCCAAACTGGCCCGACATTCAAGAGAATGTTATTGAAAAGGTGACAGAGAATTATTTTCAGATATAGACAGAAGAACAGATCATCCTTGACTGTGTTTGTTTATACAAAATGTTATTAGTGTAATACAACACAGATGATTGTCATATGAAAGAAATAAAAGGCCAGTTTGAGTGACATATGCACATAAAATTGTAAATATACAATATGCAGCCTAATACAATTCAGTGTACGTTTGGTGCCACAGCATCACAATTAATGTACATTATATGTTGTAATGAAAAACAACACATTTTTGTCTGAGAACAACACTAAGAAGGTGTATATGACGAATGAGGGTAGAGCTTAAACTTTATCACATAAAAATAGGGAATTTAAATACCAGCACTACAAGGCTGTCAGCTGGACTTCAACTTCAGGGTTAAAGGTTTAATTAATAGCAGGCTACTGTAATGCACGGCCAGCTAGACCACATGTCAGTCATGACGAATAGTCAATTATGGTTAAAGGTGAGCTTCAAACTATTTCAGCACCAGGAACAGAGCCTCCAAGAATCTGTGAGCCCCATAGTCAGTCTAGATGCTGTGGTGAAGAGAAAAAAAATCCCTGCTGGGGATCAAACCCTTGCTGTCCCAACATGTACCTAGGCACTTCACAGCCTAAGTAACTCCAGCTGATAAATGTTGGACTAACTCAATGTTAAACGCAGTGCAAACCATTCGTCTCCAGCCGCGAATTTTAAGAAACTATGACCCTGTGACACCATACTTTGGCAATATTTTAACAGCAACAAGGAATCCCACTGAAAATCCGTTTCTCCATTTACATAATGAATGTAATTTATTTACTGAACCCCCACAGCAATACACAATGCTGTCTGACGTCATTATGGCAGGAGATATATTGTTTGGAATACAACTCAACTAATTTATCTCTGATGACACTTGCTCTAAAAGCATGTATATTGCATGAAAAACAAAATTTACACGATTCAAACAACTTATCCATCAGAGGTGGGAAGTTTCCAAACTTTCCTATAAATTATATCCATGCCATATAGAACTATCTGTGCAATGTGTAATCTGCATGGATGAAATGGTTTAACATCATTCATGTGTGCCCTATACATTCAGCTGAAGACAGAGAAAGTGAACACACATTCAGAAAGTTTGGGAGAATATTCCATAATTTCCTAAAGAAGGGATTCAGATCATACTTACTTCTGATGCCACCTGTAGGTACGCAACAGAATTATTTTCCTAGGCACTAACACCATTAACTTTCATACTGAAGTTAATAAATCAAAATATTTTCAAAATAAAATATATAAAAAAAAACTGGATTTTAACTGAGGGAGTCACCTTTGACAAACTGTTACTCCATTCCCCAAAAACAGGGATAATTTCATTTATAAGAATTTTTAAAAATGTGATTATCCTTTTATAATTACAGAACTCTGCACAACACTGTGTATAGACATAGAGGATTCAATTCAGTAGTTTCCAAGGATACAGCATCGAATATTAAAATAAATAACATACAAAACTTGAAACTGTTCAGCCCAAAGTAAATAAACATGGATCTGAAAAGTTCAAGAAGAGATTTGTAAATGTCTTCACCAAACTACACAATTAAAAATAATTTATATATACCATCATCAGGTATAGTTTCACAATTACATATATTAATACACCCTACAACTAGTAAATATTGTGCGTCTGTTTTAACTGTTCAAGCTCTGAGAATTTTCTAAATGTTTATTTGTGAAAAATCCCTTCTTTTCACATCACATGTATATTATTGAAATGCCACCATTACACCAGGCTTAAATTTAATAATACCAACACAGAAATATTACAATTCATTGCTTTCCAATCCAACTTCACTCCACTTGCAATTAGCAGGATGCCTGAATAGCAAACTGGCACTACTGTGACAGCTGTCTTGTCTGCATGTCCAGTACAATGCAACTGAAACTAAAAAAGTTCCAGAAATGTGTGTGAAAAACTTTGTGTTATTTAAAATAGTGATAACATTTTTCTTTGTCTGAAAGACTGCATCTTCTTCTAACAGTTTTGGGTACATAAACGAGTGTAAATTATATTCCTGTATTAAGCAAAATGTTTCAGAGCTTAGAATTCAAGTACAGTAAAGCAAAGCAAAGTATGGAAAATTAAGGTAGCTAACTCCCTGGTAGCAGAACCTGAGGGTTCAACACCAAAGCCCGCCACCAGACACGATCCTGAGCCAATACTATTTGCCATCTTCACAGCCCACATACCTAAGCAACATCTTCATATTAGCCTCCCAGCTCCTTCTTGGTCTGCCCAGTGGTCATTTTCTGGAAGGACTCCATACCAAAATCCTATATGCACCCCTTGCCTCCTCCATGCATGCCAAATGTCCAGCCTTTTGGAGCCTCCTAGACGTCACTAACCTCACTGTGCTAGGTGACCCGTACAATTCACGCAGCTCCTCATTATCCGATATTCTAAATTCCCCAACTTATTTCATCCTTCCTAGGTCCAAATATCCTCCTGAGCACCTCGTTTTCAAAAACTTGTAATTTATGTTCTTCCTTCAAAGTAAGGGACCATGTTTCACAACCATACAAGACAACTGGCAAAACTATTGTTTTATATCTCCTGCTCTTCAGTGTTTTGGATAGCAAATGAAAAAACAGTTTTTGAATACCTCTGGGGGAAGAGCCTCTGGTATTCATTTCACAGGAGGCACAGTGGGCCCCAGAGCCAGTCCAGGCTCAATGGCAAAGCAAAAAATTTTGTCCCTGGCAGAAATTGAATTCATCATCCGATCCATAGCACAGTTAATATACTGATTAACCTACCCCAACTCTCAGACAGAACTAGACCATTTGCTAAACGAGGCAGCTTTTTTAATATTAATAACATGGTTTATTGTTTAACTCACTCACTTACTTTGATGGCTGTGAGTGTCTGTCCTTTAAATTTTAGTATGTAATTTGCCAGGCATGAATCATGATGAGGTGAAATGCAAAACATGTAACTTATTTCATAACGTAAGTCTCAAACATCAATTCAGAAATTTTGTTATAGTTTTGGTGCATTCATTTAAAAATAATTTTATTTGGTTATGAAGTGAATAAAATCAAATAGTAAGTTGAAGGTTTAAACATGTTTCAACTTAGTCATTATAAAACTGATCAAAGAAGTCTTATTCATATAATTTTTCAGTCATTTAAAGTTTCAGGTAATAAAATACACTTATTTGTGTATTTAAGATAACAAGCAAATTCGTGCAAACACATACATACATTCAGCGCTCCTCTCTCTTATAGTACGATTCCAATAATTTGAAAACAACCAACACTCACTACAGTCATGAGTGAATGTCTACACATAATATAAACTACTTAGCATTCACATGCTGTGTAGAATGATAAGACATTTACAACATTTTTAGTAAGATAAAATTATGTGTAATAAAATCTAGTTTTTTTTTGTGGTTACTTACACAAAAGTATATACTGACAAAATAAATTTCTCTTGTATTATTTTAGAATATACAATTAACAGTTGTTTATCAACTACAGACACCTAACCTAACCTAATAATTACTGTTTACATATTCCACTTTGAAGGAGGTGGCAGTTTCTGTTGGGTCACAATGAATTTTTATGACTCTGTGCCAGCATTTCATGTTTCATCACTGTCGCTGACATAGGAATTTCTTAACATACGCAACTTAAAGTAAGTAATATATCACCGCCACATAAGCTGAAGAGTTGGCATTGCAACATTACGTTCAGTAATATCAAAAGCATAAATAAAATTATATTTCCATTAAAATTATATTCAGGTATCATTCACTGATGTCAACAGACACATATGCATCCACTCTATATGTTCACCTCAGCCAACTGCATGTTATTATCAATATTTATTTCCATGCATCATCATACACTGAGTTATGTTAGAGGTTATTTCTACTTGATTTAAGTTCAACATTTTATAAGAAAAATCAATTCTGATATATTTCCAAGTATATCAGTTAAAAATGTCAACCCTGATGATTAATGCGTAGTCACAGGTTTATCAACTCGATCAAAATGTCAGTATGCACGAACCTTAAAATGTACTCAGAGTAGCGTGTACAGATTTTTCATTTAGCAAATATTTTTTCATCTGGCACAGACAGACAGGTTAATGAAAACGAAACAACTATATTAATTATTGTAATATTTTAATATTTAATAAGAATTTATTGTGATAGGACGGACAAGATTTAATATATAATATATATGTATTAGTGTCTTAATTTTGATAATTTACTGTGTCTATTACATATAAAATTTTATTACAAATCCTTTACAATACTGAGAATTATCTCACAGCCGTATTTTAATTTTTATAAAAATCAATGTCCAAATCAGAAAGTTCACATTTCATAGGCTTACTTCATCTTCACCTGCAGATAAAATTATGGTGTGTCTACCCTGTTAAAAAATAAACATCACTGGTTGTTTGAACAGACCAGAACAGTAGCAACCTCTTACTTTTAAATGAGGAGATCCATTTGTTTTTCTCAGTACATTTTGTGGAAAAATAATTGAGTCTAGTGTGAATTTAGAGAGAACTAAGCAATGAGTACACTTACGGTAATTTTTACCAAAATTTTCTCCAGTAAGATTTATATCTTGAATCACCACGGTTGACCTTTTTCTTTGATACAGATAGATATGTCATGAAGCATTTATAAATAATAATACAGTGAAAACCCATTTTAACACACCTTGTTAGTTTGTGGGTTATTATGTACCACAGGAATACAGTTATGTAGAAAAAAATAACCAGTCACTTCAATAGTGTCTTTTTTTTAATTTCCAGTTTTACAAAATTAAGTTTCGTTTTAGACATTAACTTATAAAAGTATCTCTTCATGATGTGTAAGACAGGGTTATTACTAAAAAGACTGCAATAAAAATAAACACAAATTTTTAAATACACCAGAACAAATTTTCAACATTCAGAACAGAAAAACTGATACTGAATACTTTATATTGTGCTGCATGAACTTATATGATCAAGTATGAACATAAAAATTAATGTGATCACAAAAGTGCTACAGTCATGGAGGCTGCACAGGTGTGTTCCTTAAAACACAAAGCAACCGACATTTTGTTAAAGAGTGAACCAAAATCAGGCGTTAATTCCGAATATCAACACAAACAAATATCAACTCTACTTTCTTATGGGAAAGAATGTTCACTGGCAGTCATGAAGAGTTAGAATTCTCCCCCCGATCATGCAGACCATTATAAAAATACATTTTCTTGTATGGTTATACTCCTGACCTAAAAAATGCAGATATTCTAAGGGAGGGGATGATGAATTAGGGACCTAAAACAAATATTTTGTAACACTTAAAGGGAGATATTAAATAATGTGATGATTCTGAAAGTAAAGTAACAAGCAAATTCACGCTTCAAGCAAGGCTGGATCATGCTCATTTCTCATGCAATAACTTCACTCTTGCCAAAAATGTTTCACGACTGAAACAAATAAAACACTGCAGTTACAGCAAATTTCAGAAAACTACTGTTATGAGTGGAAACTGCTATTTCATTTCTGGTGATATTCTGAAGCTATTGTAAACAAATTCCTTATAAAGGGAAATATGACAAGTTGAAATTCTAAGTAAATATGGCATGACTGACATCCTACTATTATGTCCCACTTTTTAATTTTCTATGGCAACAGGACCTGATGAAAAAGTAAAAATAACTACATAAAGAATAGCTCAGCTGGTCGCTGAAGAAGATGACGGATTTATAACATAAATTTTCAGTCTTAAAAAACTATCATCAATCTAAATTCTGAATCAGATATATCAGAACAGAAGGTGAATTCTAATTATATTATCACTAATATCAGAATTTATATTTTATCACTAAAAAAATTCTTTGCTCATAAAACTGAATCGTTGCTCCTTTGCGACGTTAGTACTGAGAACAGCTGAAGTAAAATACAAGAAAATGAGTTCTGCAAAAGCAAGGATGATGCAAGTTTACAGCTGTACATCAACTTTAACATCTGGGCATATATACAAACACTACTTTACAGAGATTCGTAATACATAACATTTTATTGGATCATTATTTTGTGGGTTGGCAAAATTTTGTTCTAAATGTTAAGACATACATAATCTGTTAACACCAAGCAACAGTTAATAAGATTACTGCAGGTGACTTCCACCGATTTGAAATCACTGGTTCATAAACCCTCATATTCTCCCTACATGATCGTAGGATATTAATGTGACTTCAGGTTTCATAAGGAGGGGGAGATTTCTTAACTAGCCGAGTGACTATTAGCTTCTTAACGAGGACTCTGCTCCATGGAATTATGAGATGAGATGGTGTTTACGTCTACTGAACTACAGAAAAGGTGATCAAGGCCCACTATGCACATATTTGCTTTGAAGCACTGAATAAAACCACAGAAGACATCTATAATGACACCTAACAAATACAAGACAGAAGTGGGACTTCAGCATTAGCAATGGGGATATGGTGGGGGGCATGAACCCTGCCGTTAACATACATCTTTCCTACATTTCAATTCCATAATATTTCCAATTTATTTCTTGGTGTTCTCGTAGATATTATCGAAGTGCTTGAAAATACTTCTCGATTGTCTGTGTGCATTCAGCTATCTAGACCTATTATAGAACTTTAATTGTAAAATTAATTAATATATATTTTTATTAAACTTCAACAACAAACATATCTTGTGGATGGATGGGATGGGTTGGTGGCAGGGGCAGTACCATATATGACATGATTACCATAAAAGACATGCTTACTAATTCTTGCTAATTCAAACTTTACTAATCACGTTTTCCTTGTGCTAAAACAATACCGTAACGTGGAACTTTTTCTGCGATGAACACAGCAGAAGGAAACTGACTGACCCATTGTACTCATAAGTCAGGAGTATGCAACTTTTAAATGTCTCTGGTGTAAGGATAAGCAGCTGATTGTAAACTGGACTGCATCTTAACCTACTCAGTGTTCAGAAAGTAATCACCTTCATTTATTTCTATGTTTTCAGAGTAGTTAATAATGAAACCCATAGATACACAGTTGTGTGTAAAAAGATGGCAGTAGAATTTCCTTTCACCGATGTGATTATTATCAACCACTAAAGATCACTGCAGGTGCTTGGAGGGAGAGAGAGTGTAGCTCGTACTTGTTCTTCACCTTGGCACTAGATGGAAGTGTGGGGTCAGTATCACAACCCGGCCGCATTTGACTCCTAGGGAAGGGACCCCCGGTACGCACTGGACAGGAGACATGGTGGGCTACACACCTGGTATGGATGCAGAGGCTAGAAGAAAATCCTTTGCCCTCGCTGGACACTGAACCCTGATTATCCAGTCTGTAGTCAACAGACACTACAGCGACTGAGCTACCCTACAGTTTTGAGCAAGAAATCTTATTTTTCACATGAAAATGGTTAATAGAAGTCCGTCACATCCCTGAATGATGAGAGTGAGACAATAAAAGCTTCCAGATTTACTGAAAAACAGAAGAGCAAGGTGTAATGCAAAAAGCATAGAGTTTGTGTAAGGCTAAACACAAAAAAATGGGACTTGACATACTTCACATCACTTCACATAGGGCTACAGCTACGCAATACTGATCAGTCAAACACAAGATCTTCTCCTCGGCCAACAAGTACATTGGGGAGGGTGGGGTATTCATGCTCTGACTATCATTACCATCACAGGGAGAAATGCCATCACTAATCATTTATGTGCATCGCAGACAGAATAAACATGGGAAGACACTCAACTCTCATATCAGGAGACAAAATGCCCCTATTAAACTGAACTGCAGTGGCTTGAACAGCATTGTCATGGCAGCAAAGGGGTGAATCTCTTATACAGGGTAAAAATAACAGAAGAGGATTTAATATTGAAGTTACTGAAAATTGTATTGTGTGTTAATTCAATGGACCTTACACCATTGTAGCTAAAACACTGTGAAGAAATTCTTCAGTGTGCCTATAAATTATATAGACAGTTGAGCCAGGTGTGAACTGAACCAAGGACATTGATGTCGAGTGCCAGATCTCTACCTTGTTGACCACAGCAAGGCTGTCTTTGTTCTCTTTTTGTAACTACAAGAAGAGACAAAAAAAAACACTATATTATGCCCAGAGAGCACCCTTTTAACCTTTTCACTGTTTTGGATGGTACAGTTCTGCAGCATGTTAATTTTCTGCCAAATACACAAATTCTTTTAATATTAGAATTGTGTTCTAAGGAGGTCAAGAGCACAATATTAATTTTAGAGTTAAGAGACTGGGTAGGCCCCAGAGTAGGTCTGAATACTGTAGCCAGTGGAAGGAAGATCTCTTGCCCCTGCCAGGAATTAAAGCCTGGCTGTCCAGCTCAATAATCTAGTCGATATACTGACTGGGATATTTCATCTCCTACATGCTCATATGTGGTGGGTTTAAATATCCTGAAAAATGTGAAAATGTTAGCTACCATACAGCAAAAAAGTTAAAAGGTGTGTACTGTGTACAATTAAGAAACATTCATACAAATTACATCCCCCTCCCACAATTTATAAGAATGAAGGTCAATCACTTCATAGTTTTTCACAATTTGAAACATCCTGTGAAAAAAAATAAATTATGAGGCTGTCAGTGTCTTATTTGGATTAGGAGCCAACTAACAAATAAATAGGAGAAATGTGGGAAATATTTCAGTTTACAACATAAATGTACTTTCTTTCCATACCTATAATTTGTATTGTCTTAGAAATATTATCCTAGCCATGTTGTTAATAAAATATGATTTATAAACTCTGTGGTTCTCTAGTTCTCAAAAACATCCACTGCAGCTTAT